TCTCTCTCTCTCTCTCTCTCTCTCTCTCTCTCTCTCTCTCTCTCTCTCAAACTCAAAGACATACCTGGTAACCTTCAATGATTGAAAAATGCAGATATAATAACATATTACATTCCTTGCTTGATTGTTCCATTTTTCTTTTCTTTAACTGAGCATCTCCTCTTTGGATGTTTTTATGCTTACAGAAATGATGCTAAGATGAAAAAGATTCTTCCTCTCCTCTTACATGTTTTAAGTCTAGCAGGAAATACTGATGACTATACCCTAATACAGAATAATTAAAAATAAAGTCAGGATGTAGGAGGAGGATATAGAGGAGAGCAGTTGACTGTAAATTCCCTGAGGTAAATCACTGTGATTTGAGCACCACAGTTCCTTCTTGGGTAAGGAATTTTAGTAAGAATGCAACAATTGCAACAGCCCTTTCCAGCGCACTTGTGGCCAATGAATAAACAAGTTTTTATACAACTAAAAGTGTTACTGAACTTCAGGAGGCAGGTTCACATCTTGATAAAATATGCTCAGAAGTCACTTCTCTGGCACTTTCTGTCCTTAGCTGAGAGACCCTGTATCTGTTTTGTCAGTTATGTTGTCTTTTCTATCATGTGGGAAAGCACTCAGTAAGAATAGATGTTGCTACTGAAACAAATGAAAATGGAGTTGCTCTGTTGGGGCCACCTGCAAAGAAGGGGAATTACTGGTCTCATCACAAGTTCCAAACACTTTGAGGAGAATTCTGGTGGATCTTGTACCCTCATATTAAATAACATGGTCTGTACTCTAGAAGGGTTTGGTGGAATTTGATTTTGTTTGTCCTTGAGCCCTGCCTATTCTTTGACTTCTTTATAACCAGAAACTTTCTGAGATGTGTGCAGTCTCTTCTGATATGAAAAAATCATGCTCACAATTGCTGTTCATTAAAGACACAACATTTGCTACATTCAAAGTTATTTTCTATATACTATTTGTGCCCCAACAGTCCTTGAAGATACGATTTAGCCGACTCACTTAAATGATGGAAAATACATTGCTGGTAGATGGTAGTGCTAGGACCACTCCATGGGCTGAAATTGTATTAGACTGTATAGGTTTACTCCATCTCTCCTCAGGCCTCAGTTCTTCTCAGGACTCCAAAATATTGCTACTGATGAAATGCACCCTGTGTCCAAAGCACTAAAAACAGACCTGAAGAAAAAAATAGGAAAACAAAAGGCACTGGGAAATATCTGTAGGGCCCACAGTCCTGAAGTGCCCTCATCCCTAACACAGCATTTCTTGGAGAGCTGACTCTGCCCTCGTCTCAGCCTCTTTTTCCAGTTGCAACACTTTCCCACCATACAGGCACCTTGCTCTGATCATTTCCCAGTGAGCCTTCCTGTGCATAATGGGCCTGAATTGATGGCCAGTTCTTCACATCCTTCACCCCTGCTGGCTCCCAAGGAACAAACCACCTGGACACCACAGCCTTCTTTTTGCATGAATGGTTCCAAGTTCCAGAGGTCATCTCACTTATCATGGACCGTTTCTGACATCAACAGTCCCATGTATGTAATTGTTAACTTGGCATTGTTAGGAACGTGTTTCTCTTTCTGGGTGATTTTATTACACTGTCAAAGTATTTTCAGTCCACAGGTGTCCAAAGATTATTTGTCATAGAATGTATAACCCTAGGGTTAGAAAAGAATTTTTAAATAATCTTTATATTTGACCAGAGAATGTTAATTGAGTGATATTTTTGAGATTTACTGCTGAATATAATTACTTTTTAAAGCAAAAATGTGTACATGTGCCAAAATTAAACAAACTTCTTGCTGAGGGACTCAGATATTTTTCTCTATTTGCTCTTATGATTACTCAAAATAAAATAATGAATTTGTGGGCAAATGTGTGTTCATTCCTTACATGCAAGACATTGCAAGCAGGAAATTTATTGAAGCTAGGGGTGTAAAAATTATAAATTTTCATAAATGTTGCTAAGACTTCATTGCAAATTCTATATAATAAAAATTGTTAGGGAAAGTTAAAGCATAAGGATATGCTACATCCTCCTGTGCATGCTGCATTATTAGTCTTCTAAGTTTTGTTGAAAATTTTGTAAGATATATTATTTTTGCTTATCTTATTTCACATTTTCTTTTTTCTTTTTTTTTAATTTCATATTTTCTTGTTTCTTACTAGTTTGAGTAAAAACTGCGTGCAATACTTCAGCCATAAAAAGTGAAATTTGGGCAGTGACATCTTCAGTATTGAAATTTCTCTATACATGCCTTGGTATTCCATAATATCAATTCAACTGTTCCTTTTACTTTGAGAGTTCAGGATTTTGTCATAATGAACATGTGCTAGGAAACAGTTCCAGACCAGGCTTCTAAAATTAGTGAGTAACATCTGGAGGAATGGAGGGTGATACCAATTTTCATTGTCCATAAAAGAGACACATAGTGAGTGAACCCACACAGCTGGTACAACTAAGAATTAGCTTTCTGGGTGTAGAGTCAGCATTAGGAATGAAGAAATCAAGAATAAAGAGAGTAGAAGTTGTTATAGTTTGTGCCTAGATGTCTCCCCAAAGCTTCATACAGTCAAAGGATGGGCTTCTAGAGTTTGATTGATTGACGGTTCAATGCTGGGATTATGGGTGTGGGCGATAAACTCACCTTGGGGAGGGTAGCCTGCATACAACATAACTGAGGGAATGAGGCTTGCTCTCTGCTGCTCCTCTCTTTGCTCTTGCTGATTTTGCTGTTTTCCACTTTCTTGAACTGTTGCCTTCTGCCATGTGCCATTCTGTATTGGACTGAAACCTCTTCAAACTGTGAGCTAAATAAACCTTTTCTTTCTTAATTTTGGGAATCAGGTATTTGTGTCAGAAATTAGAGAAAGTAACTAAGATAGAGTTTGGGACCAAGAGTGGGGTCATTGCAGTGACTACTTAAGCCTTTGGGAATGGCTTGTAAGCTTTTAGAAAGGATTTTTTTTCACAAATAGGACTTTATTTTTTTTCTTTTATTTTTATTGAGAAACAATTATCAATGAGACAGTTTTAAAACTGATTAATGGGATAGTTTCAATAATTAATACATTGTACATTGTTATCTTCTTAGTGGTTATCCATAGTACAAGAAGCAGACAGAATATCCTGTCCAAACACTATTAATACAAATCTTTCTTCTCATTGAATTAAGCGAAAGTAGCTGTGCATCTATCCTAACTATTCTGCATATACAGATACAAAATGGTCTTTCCTTTGTATCCCTTTTTTTTTAGTCCTGTCAGAAATGGGTATTCCATTGGCATCTAAATACTATAGGTACATGAATTCAGCAAAACAATCCAACACAGTCCAGCAGTCCACAATAGTAGTGGGTTATCCACAGAAGTTGTTGACTTGAGCCTTTCACAGCTCAGCATATTAATATGGCTTTACTTTACATACCTCATTTTTATACTTTTCTGCTGGATGGCTAAGACCAAGAAAAAGGAAGACCTGTATAACAAGGAATGTAACTTTTGTATCTGATAAAGTCAGTCAAGTACCCTCAGGATTTATCCTCTAACCCTGTACAGCAGTTTGCAGATCCTTTGTCAGTGTCAGCCATGTGGATGAGTCATGGCCATTGCTTGACCAATTTTCTCTCTGTGAAAGCCTGAGAGAATGTTTTCTCTCCAGGTGACTCTCCTTAGGCACACTCCACATCATCGATCACATTGCTCTGTGCCCCCATAATCTCCTTGATCAGAAAATTTGGGAAACTGCTGAGTTACATGATGTTACTGTATAGGTTCTTCTATGTCCTGAGTCTTCACTGACCTTGAAATGCTATGGTCAAAATGTTGGCTGTCCTTGCAGCCCTTCTATTTCTCTAATTTTTGGTCTGCAAACTTAGGTTGTTAACCCTCCAGAAGAGAAGTTTATTATTACCCTACATCTTATGCAGTTGAGTTTAACTTCACTATCTGTGTGAATATCAAACATCTTAGGCATAACATGGAACAGGTATTTTCCATCAAGTATTCATATGTTAAACTTTAAGTCCCTACAGAATATGGAGATAAAAAATTTCAAAATGAGAAAGGTTTAGAGATGTCATCTGAAAGAATAGCGCTAGACTAGGCATAGTGGCTGATGCTTGTAATCCTAGCACTTGGGAGGCTGAAAGCAGGAGGATCACTACAAATCTGATCTACATAGTGAGACCCTGTAGACCCTGTACTAAATACATAAAAATAAAAATATAAAAGATGAAAGAATAGCAATGAAATGCCTTAAGCTTTTCTTTTGGGAGATTCTGGTCAGATCTTCAAAAACCAGAATGCTGATAGAAATTTTGCTGGTAAAGACAAGGCTTGGGGGATTTCTCCTGGGAAAGACAACATTGGCTGTGGGATTCCAGACAATACATGCTTTCACTTGGCAAAACATTTGTCTACATTTTGCACATGTCCAGAGATTTTGACTGC